GAGAGGGAGAGGGAGGGAGGGAGGGAGAGAGAGGGCGGAGCTGGGGCCGCGGCTCGTACGCGAACAAATGGTACACCATCTGGGCGGCCTATGCTGCAAGCAAAGGCTGGATAGATGTCCACCGCCGAGTGAACGGAGACTCGGCCCGAACCGGCTTCTCACGAATAGACCAGGCTCATAAGGTCTCAACTAGGATCGACCAGATCTACGCGCCTGCTTACGGTCGATCCGGACTTCGTAACGATCGTTCAGGAAACAGCGTTTTGTACCCGCAAATCCCCCCGCCGGCGCCGCCCGCGCGCCCCGGACGGTGTGTGTGTACGTGAGCTACGTCTCAGTAAAGCCGTACTCAGAGTGCCCATAAATAAATAAAAACGGACACCTCTCTACTGTGAGATGGGTAAAAAGGAACAGGCCCCCGCCCTTGCGATCTTTGTGCAGGGTTCTTTGTGGGTGTGGTCGGCGACTAGCCGGGGTTGTCCAGAGTGCCCGAGCGGCGTATAATGCTTTTTTATCTTCTTAATCTTATTTCACATGCGCCTGCCGGGGGGGAATTAGGTTCAAATCTGCTCAGACACAAAACTAATACACTCTCGGCAACGTCAACGACCCGTTGTGGTGACACTGCTTGACCTCTAAGCAGACTAAGAGGGCGAGAGATCGGTGTGAGGACAAATGGCAAATGCACACGAGGCAGAGAGTGCCGCCGTCTACTGCCGTCGACTCGGGTCTCCGCGGGAGGCTCGTGGCGCTGCCTCAGGCGTCAGTCGTCCTCGCTCGGCAAGTCGTCCCGCTTGAGGATCTCGAGCCTACTCACAAGTGCCACGCGTAAAGAGGCGCCGTTCACGGCAGGTCATCGCGCCAGAAGGAAGCTCGAGCCGGCTCAGCGTGGCGCACTCGCCGCCGCACAGCTCCATCACCTCGTGCCACAGCGGCTTGGGCAGGCCAAGGCACTGCTTCAGTGCAACCTGTATCAATTGGTTGATGATGACTACTCTATCGATTCAGCAGCAAGCGGAGGCACTGCTTAAGCGCAACCGGCCGCGCGCACGCGACGGCGCGCCACGCGCCCTCGCCGGTGGTCAGGCCTGTGTGGCGGCCGAGGAACCAGCGGAACGCGAGCGGCGAGGCGCGGCCTATAAACTAGCATGCACTGGTTACCTAACAAGCCGAGGATACCTCACGGAACGCGAGCGGTTTGGCGCGGCCGGCGGCGACGGCCTCGATGGCCGCACGCTCTCCGCCTGTGAAGATGCGCGTCCCGGGCGACACCTCGACTGCACCCTCGAGCGACCCGTCGCCGTGCACCTGGATTGGTAATGAGTGCGCGTTTAATAACTAGTAATGGTGCCTCGAGCGACCCGTCGCCGTGCACCAGCAGCCCACCCGACTCCTGCTCCGACGGTCCTCCCAAGTACGCGCACAAATCGTCTCCGAACGCGGCGAGCAGCGGGCCGACCAGCGCCTCCGCCGCTCCCGTCTGCCGCAGCAGCAGCTCCGCCAGCTGCCGGTTCCCGCGCGCCGCCAAGGGGCGGTTAAGAGCGACTCCGTCCGCACCCGCGGCCGAGGAGCGAAGCACAAGCACGACCTGCTGCCACTCCTATTCATCATGCATAACCAGTGTGTCTCTCGAAATGATCGCAAACACCGGCACGACCTGCCGCCGCTCCTGCCCGGCCTCCTGGTACGCCTGCAGGAGCGCGCCACCCGCAGAGGCGGCATCAACGGTCGCCTGAAATCATTGGCAATGAGCAGTGACGGATCGCCGACTGGATAAGAATCGTCGGCAAGAGCGGCTGCCACTCCTGCAAGTGATTGAGGAGCGGCCCCCAGAATCAGTCATTTACACGCGCGCGCAGAATCGCGGCATTGGCGGTCGCCTTGCCACCCTTGGCCTTGGCCAGGAGCGCCTGCAGGGGAGCAGCGCCTGCAGGGTCAAAGGGAAGGCCCCGAGATCGTGCCGCCCTTGGCCTTGGGTCAGCAGCGCCGGAACTGCCTCGGGAGGTGGGCTCCACATCCCGGGCAGAGATTGCACGAGATTGCACGAGCCTCTCTCCTCTACCGTAGCGACTTCTCCTCCCCTCTCTCCTCTCCCTCTCTAGCGCCTGAAGCGTCTCCGCGACGAACCCCTCGCACAGCCGGTAGCAGTACGCCGTGTTGGCCAAGAAGCGCGCCTGCCAGAGACCCTGGCACAACTCATCCTCTCGACACCTCAGCATCAAACGAAGTGCTGGCCGGGAGCCTCGCCTGTCAGTGACCAATCAAACATGAACCAACTCGCTGATCATCGCATACGCAATGCTCGCCAGGCCCCGCGCCTCCTCGCCGCCATCACCGGCGCTGCCGCCTTTGGCCGCCGCGTCGCCGCTGTCGCCCTCCTCTGGGACAGGCAGCTCCGCCTGAAGAAGGAATGTCTCGGAAGAGTCTCGGAAGTGTCTCGGAAGTGTCCTCTGGGCCAGGTTGCCCCCGCCTCGAAGCGAGAGCGGAGTGCGCTGCCCAGCACGCCCCCTCCGCCGCCTACGCCATCACCTCGGAGACTCTCGGAGACTCTCTGGGGCGATCTCCGCATCCGGGCCTCGAGAGAGATGGGGAGATATGGGGAGATATGATGGTCAGAGACAAGCATCTGGCTCTCTCGCCGCCGCTGGAGCGCAGGCTCTGCGTCAGCTGCGCCTCGAGTGGCATCCGGAGCAGCATGCCGCCCGCCTGCAGGGAAAGGCCCAGGAGCTGTCTCGGAAGGGACCAGGAATTGTCTCGGAAGGGTCTGTGATGTGCTGCCCGTTTCCCCTCCCGTCCGATTTCACTCTCTCGGTGGCGCGCCTCCACTGGCGACTCGTGCGCCCAGCTCCCCTCGGTGTACTCGCGCCACAGCTCCTCGCTTTGCTCTTTCAGCAGCGCCTACAGGAAGCTCCGAGAGGTTCCGCGAAGGGTTCCCGGCTCTGCCGCCGCTGCCGCGACAGCGGCGCCTCGTTGCCGGGCGCGACGACGAGACGCGGTGCCGAGGACGCCGCTGCCGCGGAGGACGGCGTCGCGTCGTCCGGTGCGGCGCCCTCTCCGTCCGGCGTCGCCTCGGTTGTCAGCTTGAGGCCTCCGGAGATGAGCTGCTGGCGGAACTTGCGCCACTCCTCAGGGCTTGGACCAGAGGCGGGCGGGTCGGCGGCGCACAGTGCTGGAGCGCCGCAGCGGGTAGTGCGTGTAGGGAGCAGCCTGAGGGTGGAGCAGGCCGGCACGGAGAGGAGGAGGAGTGCGGCGCTTGACGGCCACATACACAAGCGGAGAAGAATTCTTTAAATTGTCTGTCGTCCTCCACACCGCTTTGGTGTCCAGTCCGAGCCTGGCTGTTCTTCACCTTTCTACCTACCTACCTACCGCTGTGTGTGTGTGTGTGTGTGTGTGTGTGTGTGTGTGTGTGTGTGTGTGTGTGTGTGTGTGTGTGTGTGTGTGTGTGTGTGTGTGTGTGTGTGTGTGTGAGTGTTGGCGGCGCGCATGCGCCGCAGGGTTGACCGACAGCCGCGCGCCTCGAGCCTCTCGCTCCACTCGCGGCACGACGCGCCCCGCGCGCCGGTCAGCGCAGCAGGAGTATTGCGACATGCTGCACAACGCCAAGGACAGCACTGAGAAGCTGGCGCCAGTCGCCCACCAGCATGTCTCAGCACCAGGTGAGGGAGCATGCTGCGCACGCTGATGCAGCAGGGGGTAACCACCAATCAGGCCCTCATGCCACTGCACGGCCGCCCTCGAGCACCAGCAGCCGCGCTGCGCCATGCTCAAGCTCAGGAGGCCACCCTGCTTCTCGCAGCTTTGTGCAGCGCAGCGAGCGAGCAGCGCCGCACCAGGCGGACCCATGGCGTGCTCAGCCAGCCGCGAGGCGGAGGCAGGCCGAGTGAGCGCGAGCCGCGCGGGAGGCCATGCCCCGCGCACCGGCGAGCGAGTGGCGCACCGGCGAGCGAGTGGCACGAAAGAGTGCAAGTCGCGCATGCTTTTGCGTATAAACGGTCCTGCGCTTCTGACTCCAGAATTCTTCTCTGGGCCTGCGGTGCACCTAAGTCGCCGACCACGCGCGCCACGCTCGCTGGCCACACTCGCTAGCGATGCTGATCCTCGCTCGCCGCGCGGCCGTGTCTGCCTGCCTGCTCGCGGCTGCACACTGGCGCCCGCCTCTGCCGGCGCTGGCGCGTCCCGACAAGGACGGCATCTTCAGCGACTGCAGCGGCTTTTGTGTGAGCAGCCAGGACGACAGGCCGGCGGTGTGGGACAACCCGTGGGTGGCGGAGCAGGCGCTGCCGAGCGCGATGGAGCGGCTGCGCCGCGTGATCGAGCTCAAGCTGCAGGGCAAGGTCGTCGAGCAGGACGAGCGGTACCTCCGCGCCGAGTTTGCCAGCCGAGGGCCGCTGGGCGACGCGGTTGACGACGCCGAGTTCTTCTTCACGCCGGACGACGTGCTCGTGCAGTTCCGCGCGGCGCGGCGCGGCGACGCGCCCGACTTTGGCGCCAACCGGAAGCGGCTCGAGAGGGCGCGCATCGCCCTCGGCTGGGAGAAGGTGGAGGTGCTGCGCAACCGCAGGCGAGCGCTCGTCGTCGTCGAGTCGCCCTTTGACAGCTTCGGGCCCGCCACCTACGAGCGCGACGAGCTCGGCTTCACCAACCGCGACCTGGTGCCCGCGGAGGCCAACCAGAAGGAGCTGTACGGCGACCTCGACCCGCTCGCGGCGCCGTGGCGCAAGCCGACCCCGTCGATGCGCGACGCCAAGGACGGGCTCGGCGAGCTGCTGAGGCGAGAGTCGGACGACCGCGTCCGGAGTCGGTAGTCGGGTCTGCTGCCGGTGCGTTTTTCTGTGCGCATTGCACCGAACGAGAGCGTGGCATGCTTACATATGTGCGCGTCGGCAAGACTCTACCCAAGACGCGTCGCGTTGTGTGACCGTCACCGCCCGTCTACGGCTTTAGCGTCCACCCATACGTACGGCTTTACCGCGTTGGTGTCCCAGTCGTTGGTCGGACTGTGTTTCGCCTTCCCATTCAATCAAAATCACCCAGGCTGCAGGGGCATCACCATCAGCCATCACAGCAACACAGGGGCTGGAGCGGCCGCACATTGCTCGGTACCCCCCCTGCACATCTAAAGTCATCCCTGCTGCTAGGGGGGGGGGTCTGACCCCCCCAGCAGCAGAGCGCTGCTGCTGGGGGGGGGGTCCCGACCCCCCCAGCAGCAGAGCGCTGCTGCTGGGGGGGGGGGGGGTCCCGACCCGCAGCAGAGGGCATTGGACCCAGCTCTCCCGGCTCCCCGCCGCCTCTTCGCCGCCGCCGCCCCCTCCCACCTCGGCTCGTGTTTTAGCGGTACGCTCGAGGCGGCTGTGTTCACCGCGCCTTCGAGCCCAATACACCTTCGTCGTGTCGAGTGCTGGCGTTTTACTAAAGCTTGTGACCATGTGAGTCTATCTTGTACTACCACACTAAAAGCCGTATAGTGAGCCACTCACTCGGGCGTCTCGGCTGTCGTTGATCGATCAGCGTTGATCTCCCTAGCCTATCGCCCCCCCGCTCGATCCTCGGATCGCTCGCTCGTCGAAATCAATCGACTGAGCTTACACTTTTCTTTTTTCGAAACGCGCGCGCGGCCCGTCGCGTGGCAAAACTGTCCGGTCCGCCGCGACGCGTCGCCGCAATGGCGGGCAGCGACGTGGTGGAAGCCATGCGGCTCGCCCTCAAGCCATTTAATATCCAGCACCTCGCCGACGACTGGAACGCTACCGTACTTACTTACAACTGTCGGTACAGAGATGCCAGCACCCCCCAGCAGCAGAGCGCTGCTGCTGGGGAGGGGTCCCGACCCCCCCAGCAGCAGAGCGCTGCTGCTGGGGGGGGGGTCCCGACCCCCCCAGCAGCAGAGCGCTGCTGCTGGGGGGGGGGGTCGGCCATGACTTTATATGTGCAGGGGGGGTACCGAGCAGTGTGCACGCGGCCTCTCCAGTCTCCTGACTCATGAGTCTTGAATTCCGAAAATCAAAACGCGTCCCGACGATCCACACGAAACCAGGACGCACGGCACCCGACGCCGTCCGCGGCGCGTCCCCGCGCGGCCTCAACCAAAGAGGCTCAAGGCTGGGACCTGTGGGTGGCAAAGAGGATCTCTCGACCCTGTCCTCAATCCGTATGGCGCTCCGGCCACATTCAGATCACCCCGCGGACGATCCCCCATCGGGAGGGAAACCATCCATCTCACCCCCCCCCCCCCCTCCCCAGAGAGACCTCTTAACTCGTTGACCGGGCCAAGTCCCACTCCATTAGTAGAGAGCAGCTCTTAGCTCCGCCTCGCGTTGACGGCCCCCTTTAGATTCCACCCGTGCAGTAGTGTGCCCAGTACACCACCCATGGCGACAAGGCAGCGCCCTCGTCCGACTCCTTGGCCTTGCCAGGGGAAAGGATGGTGGAAAGAGCCTTTTCCATCCGGCCGGGGGC